GCCCCAGCAGCCCCAGCCCCCTAAACAGTTATTGATAATATAATGTACACATCATTATAAGTCTTATAAGTGATAATATAACATTTATATCTTTCGTATATCTTTTTATAATACCTTTGTGGTTGTAAGGAAGATTCACGTCTGGTTTTCCCAAGCACTATTTTGCAGTCGTTGTCATTATAGCCATGATAACTATTATAAATCTGTGCTTTTTGCTGATACGAAATCTTGCCAACTAATAGCTCAACGTCAAATCGTCTAAGCATAGACACTGAAAAGCCTGTCTCAAAAGTTGATAGGATGTACTCGTTCTTAGCCCAGTCAGGGTCATAAAAGAGATCCTTGCCAGTTAACGTATGCTTGCCATAATATTGTCGAAACAAACATTTTCCGCTACTACAGAACTTTGTCAAGTGTGATGCCAGAAATGTTCCCCTCTCATCATCATATAAAACCACTTTGGCTACATCCTTCCCTCTGCTTTTAACACGTAGTTTAGCCTCGCATACTCGGCATGTATTATTAGAAGACATAAGAACATAGCCAAGCGGAAAATCTGCTTTGTTTGAATAAGCACAGAGTTCGGTAAAAAGCTGTTTTTCGGCTTCATTTACTGCGTCGGTGTCAAGTGATGCGATATTATCAAAGCATAATCTGCATTGCTCTTCTGTAAGCTTGCTGTTCCCACTTTTAGCTGAGATATTTAAGTTGACGAATTGAGTAACGTGCTGCCAGTAGCGAGGCAAGTCAATCGGAAGATGCTGGCAAATGTATRTCAGTCTTCTGCACATCGAAAACTTCGTGATGTATTTCAAAATAGTATTCAGCATTGTRGACACTTCAGTCAGTCAAAAACCAKCTCAAAAACATCATACATCAACTCACAAACTATGGAAAAAACGGCCACCTACCAAGTCATAAATTGTGGAGACCACGGCGAGTCAACAGCTAGTCACGTACATATAAAATACGACAACGTACAAAACGATCACCTCCCCTCTAAAATCTTCCTCTCCGCCTGGTCCCTTATAACACGTATCATCACGTTTTTACACGTCGATGAAATACGATGATAAATTTAAAAACATTTAAATTTTTGTTTTAAGAATATGCTTTGTAAAATATGATTTAACTTGCATAAAAAATTTTTTGCAGCTTTTTCAACAAGAGCAGAGTTAAATATTGGCTTTTTAATACGTAACCACCAGGGTAGAAATCTGAACAATTGCAGGTACCCTACCAAGTTCACCATTTGTTGTGAAYTCCTAACATACGTTTCAAAAATTTCAAATGCAAACGTTCTATAACACTTATGGTATTAAGTTTATGATATATATTTTAAGATAT